CTCCCAGAATTCCTTGCTGGCTGGGGAATTCTGGGTGTTGAAGTCCACCCATCTTAAAGTTGCTGAGGTGGAGGAACCCTGATTTAAATGGTGGGAGAAAGCTTTTTCAGGTGCTCTCCTGGTGACCCCAGCAAGCCTGTACAAAAAGAAGGGAAACATGGTTTTTCTTCCAAACTCTTGTCTTTATTCAGAAGCCTCAGAAGGAGACCTCTCTTAGATTTATTTGTGACTTGATCACAGCCCTGTGAAATGATAGTCATCTTGTAAGAGTGAGTTCTGCATCTTTAACTAACCAGGCTTTCAAAGCCCTCCAAAACAAAAGTCCTCCGAACACGTTGTGGCCATGAGTTCAATTCATGGATCCTACCCACTTTGAAAGCCCCATTAGGTCCTGGCTCTCAAAATCTCTCTTTAAATGTGTGATTGAAAATAACATCAGTGAAGAAGGCTATTTTTAATGAAGTCATGACCTCCAAAAGCCTAATTTTTTTTCCCATCTCCCCCCTTTTGCAGGACATTTTTGTTGTGCTTGTTTCATTTTAAACAGGGGACATTTTTGTTTCGGACAACAGCATTCCTCTACTACCCCAAACTCCATAGCCACATAAGGATTGTCCTTCATCCAAACAGATCTTTCCATAACACCACAAAAGAATGGACCTCTTCCACCTCGTTCCATGGCAGTCATCCATGCTTTATCCCTCTGGAATGGAAGGATGCCCCATGGAAGAACCAAGTTTTGTACCACGTACAGTAGATCTGAACTGGCTTCTGTATTTTTTCACTTGGTAGATCAACAGATTGCTAATGTTGTTTGTAGCTGTTTTGACTTGAGATCACGAGTGCTGCTTTTTTGGGCGAACCTTTTGACTTGAGAAATAACGATGATGATGATGATGATGATAATAATAATAATAATTTTTAGTTGTTTTGTGGGCTAGTTTCTTATCTAATTGAGGCCCCAAACCCTGGATTCAAGTGACCTTTTCTTTTTCTTACGCTAACACTGATGTAAGATTTTCCACACGAAGATGGTGCTGTGCTAAAATGTTCTTCTGCCTTTGAGCGTTCTACTTCCATGTGATGGAAAAAAATGGCATTGGGTTTTTGCTTTTAAAGGAGAAGAAAGTGTTGATGGACATCACAAGGGTGGCGTACAATGGACATGGGCATACCTTACTTACAGGTAGCCGTAACAGTGCGTGTGAGCGTTTGGTCTTTCTCTGTATAGTTCTCGCTGGCTTGTAGTCTCCCTGGCTAATTAAATCCAGAGGGGAAAAAGGAAGGAGTTGCTGTCTGGATTTCTTTCAGATCAGGGAGCAGGAGCAGTCAAAGAGATAGTTCAGGGATGTGTGCTTAAAAAATCGTAAAATAAAATCAACGAATCTTGAAGCCTCCACCCTTTGTGATGAGAAAATAAGTTGAACATCATCCTTCTCCAAGACATTCTAAAGCTCCCTGAGAATGAAGAGGAAAAACAGAAGCCACTTTCTCAGGCGATGAAAATGAATCCGAAGGACACCGTTTGGCACAGCGTTACTTGAAAACGGCTTTGGTGAATGTGGCCCCCTTCCCTTGAGCGTAAAAAGAGTGCTGTGAGATCAGACCAGAGGTCTAAGCAGATCTTTATTCCCCCTGGAGCCATCCAGGTACCTCTAGGAAGACTGCATACAGGGCATGGGGACAACCTCACTGCCTTTGTACATGGATGCTGTATTTGATTAATGGTCAGTGATAGACCTTGTTGCCTGCATGAATGTATCTTAAGTTAGCAGCCTTGGGTCACCTTGTGGTAGTACGTTCCGTAGATTTAGCTAACTAGGCTTTAAGAGCCCTCTGAATTAACAAAGCATGTTGTGGCAGTGACGTCCACAAATAGATTCTGCTCACCTTGAAAGCCACGTTAGGTTATGGCTCTCAACCTCTGGAGAGTTTCATAAAATTCATCAGGCTACGTCAGTGTTTCTCAAGCTTGGCAACTTGAAGATGTATGGACTCCAACTCCCAGAATTCCCCAGCCACCATTCTGGGAGTTGGTCCACACATCTTCAAGTTGCCAAGGTTGAGAAACACTGGTCTACGTTCTGCTTCTTCCTACTAGATTGGTTGTTACAGAAAGACCAACATGTGTTTGTGACTATATAATTTCTGTAAGCCACAGATCCAATCACGTCCCCTCTTTTCATGTCTTTCCCCCCCACCTATCAGAAGTGGCCAACTTGGTGTGGCAGAGGGGCCATTGCCTTCTCCAGTGATGCTTTTTCCAGCTTCCCAGTCCAGCCTACATGTCCTGGGATATTCTGGTGGTCTCTCCTCCATGCATTGACACAGAACAACCCTGTTTAGTTTTCCAAGATCAGCCACCATTAACTAGGAGTTGTCTCAGCCCCACTAGGTAGTCCAGAGCAGGAAATCAATCCTACAAGAAGGCCAAAACTACTTTTATTGAGATATTATAATATCAGGACCTTACAAGCCTGACTGTGCTGGACCTTCTCCCCCTTCTTATACTCCAGCGAATTAGGGTGGTGTCTGCCTGGACCCTTCCGAATGTTATCTTGTTGCTCCAGACTTAAAAAATGTTTCAGGCCCTTTTCCCTAGTTCTGCATATTTCCATCAAGGTCATTTGCCGTACTTTCTATAGGCTGCCACCTGGCTCGGCCAGAGGCAGATTTCCATCTGAAAAGTGGATATAACTGAGGTGTTAGAGGAAAGAGTTGAAAAAAAAATCCAGATCTAAAGAATGACTGCAGGTCAACATCAGTGGGATTAATAATTTTCTTCTATCCAATGGCAAATTAGTTTTGGATATGGGAGAGGAAAAGAAACTCTCAGGCTCTACGCCTCACTTCTGTGATTTGGGCTGCCTCTGATGCTGCCCTTACAGACTGATGAAAGCAGAGCTACGTTGTTGCACGCAGGCTTCACCCCTTTTGTGCATGTGTGCAACATCTTGACACACCTACCACAGAGCTTGCATGGTGCCAGCAAAACTCTGCTTCCCTCTTCTTCCTCCCTGGGAGTAGCACTGCTAGAATTTTTTCCTGTTGGCTTCTTACACAGATCATCTTCATTACAGTTTATAAGCTGAACCTGTAAAATTTTGTCTCCCTGTGGTACTGAATCAAAATGTGCCTTCATGCTTGCTGGCTGAATTGTTTTTACAACGTTTTTTTTGGGGGGGGGTCATTTTATGTTGCACGTTGTCCATAAGGTTCAGGTCAGGCCCCACTTTGAGAATTTGGAAAAATAGCTTGATCTGGCTTTGCATCAGTTCAGAGGTCTTGTGACTCAGCACTGCCTCCAAATCTGAAAGCCAAACCAATAATAATAATAATAATAATAATAATAATAATAATAATAATAATAATAATAATAATATTTATTTGTTGAAAGTTTGACAACTGCAAGGTACAAAACAAGATCTTT